TTCAAAGTTTAAAAATATTAGTGTAAACTATAGGGTATTTAAGTGCAATTAAGCCTGAAAAAACTTCAAAAAGTGTTAGGTTTTTTTTTCTATATAACCGCTTTATATTTGTTCTATTTGCCGATTTACCCCTTAAATTTTCGTATTTGCTAATTTACCTATGATCCTTCCATTTTATACCCTCTTCTTATCTAACGCCAAGAAAATTTATATGGAATTTGGGAAAAACAAAATCCTTATATTTCTAACTAATGGAGGATATTTTTGTCACTTCGTAGCTACTCAGTTCGAAATTTAACCGCGTCAAGTGAGAACTTTAAATCAATGACAAAGAAATACTTTTTTTCCATTTTTACGTAAAATTATAAAAACATTAATCTTACAAGTATAACTCCACTAATCTAAAAATCTAACAAAAAGAAAATGATCATCAAATGAATAATATAACACCCGGATCGAATAAATAAATGATTTCTTACAAAAAAAATTACAACCAAAGAGGGCAAAAATAATACATTAACACTTTATATATCACACTCGGGTATATCAGGCAATAAACGAAAAGGGCGAACAATCCGTGTTGAACTCAGAAGGCGTTGGAGCTCTCTGCCTGCACAATTTGAGATCCATTGCTACCATCCAATTCCTGCATCTCTGAGATCTCATCCTGATGCAGCAGCATTATATCTGAGAAATCTTGGTCATGGCATTGGTTGAAACTGTTCTGGTGATTCGAAAAGATGGCTTGAGGCCGAGAGAACTGGGAGTGAGGTTGTGGGTGATGATTAAAATGAGGCCGAGGTGATGGAGTGCGCTGATTAAAGCTAAAATTTTGCTGCTGTTGTTCTAGGTGATGAGGTAGAAGTGGTTTATTATGCGATATTAATGTTTTTCTGTGAGGTTATTGGCTACACATTATGAATATCTGATTTAACTGTAGTTCTATCAGAATCATGTTCAAACCTGTTGGTCGAAGAATTTATATTGATTATTAATTAAATGGTTGTGAACCTGAAAAACAATCCTAAACTAGAACATTCCATCTCTAATTTCTTAATTAATTTTTATTTTCCAAATCTTGGAGTCAGCGAATGATAGTGTATAAAACACGACATGAATTTTCACTATAAAGAGAATAGGCAAACAAATTATATTATCCTATGCTAGCTTAATTACCTCGAGGAAATGGCTCATAACACAAATCATTTACTGTAATGCTTAAGAAGAATTTATTGTCGATTCTATGACCCTTCATAAGTTCAATGCCATCTCATTTAAGAAAACAGGTTTCAAGTGTGTCATCATGTATGAAATTTTAAATATTATGCATAGAGATTAAGGAGGAAATACAAGTGGATAGTTAAGTTATATAAATATGTACACATACTGCTTCTCAAGTAATAGAACAAAAGGCTTACCATCATGCAACTGGGCTTGATGCTCCATTATTCGTAGCCGTAACTTAAGCTCGTGATTTTCTGTTGCCAGCCCAGCTGTATCTCGCTGAAAACAAAGGACACAGCAGTGACAGTTTAATGAGCCTATGAACAAGAAACTTAGCATGCGTAAACAATGAAAACTTTTGGAATGAATCAATCCGAGATGACATACGTCCAGGATAAGTATGCTCCGAATGAATCAAATGAAATATCTTGATTCTTCAACTTTGTATTTGCGTTGGAAGAATGAAGAAAGCACAAACTTATTGATCACAGTTCATATGTTAGTGGCGATTGTAAACATGCATAAATCTTGTCTGCGTTCCTTTATGCATACTACTCAGCTCATATAGTTGACAAAAGCAAAGGTATATAAACAATGAAGCGGAAAGATAGTATTAAAAAAATCAATTAATAGAGAATTGAAACCAGCAAAAGGAATTTATTATTTTTATTCGTCCTAGGACAATAAAACAGAATGCTGATGTCAAACATTTGGAGCGGGTGATTTCTATTCACATCTAAATTAGCTTGTATAGAATGAATACAACCAATAGGGTAGGATACAACATCAAGAGGTTATTCATTAGGGCTTGATATCTACAAGTCTAAATCTTATATATATTTCTGAAGGGATGGATAAAGTATTAATGTCTATGGATCAGATACTATCTACACTGGTTACACGATTCCACAATCTTAAAGACCAAACTGAACAAAGTCGTGAATACTTGATTCGAAACCAACCTGTAACAGCGAAAGCTGTGCAGTAAGTGTTGTTAATTCAAACTGAAGGGAGTGAACTTTCCTCTCAAGATCTGAAATATAATGAGCTTTCCTTTCTTTCGAGCGAGCAGCGGACTGCCGATTTGCGAGAATTCTGCATGGATATATTGAAAACTTTAGTGATGTCACATAACCTTATAAGTCAGAAGCATATACTCGCATTGAAATTGAAAACTGCCGTTAAGACTGACACAAAGTCTTACAAACAAATTTCAGAAGATGGAAGTACATGCCAAATGATTGTCATACAGGAAAGCATATAGCTAACTAATATACAAACTTCAGTAGACAAAATGTTGCCAAGAATATCACGGAAACATGTAAAGTTTAGCTTGCAAACCAAATTCAGTAAATGTATTGATATCATCGTGCATTTACTAAGGTTGGTTGACCAACATTGTTGGCCCATAATCTGTGAGTTAGGTTTTTTGAGTACAGTGGTCACCAACATTATATCAGAGAACAACACCAGATTACTAGAGGCCCTAGATTTTAATCATCATTACCGACAATATACCTTTTTTCTTTTTTTTTTGCTGGACTATAGAGAGAGAGAGAGAGAGAGAGAGAGAGAGAGAGAGATGGATATGCTTGGTACCAAGCACAAGTTTTTGTGCTTGGTAGTGATGTGCCATATTCCCCTCCACTCATTAAAATCGGGGCCCACATTCACATGGGTTGGGAAGTGGTTGGGAATGGGAATGAGTGGATGAGAATATGACACCTCACTACCAAGCACAAAATTTGTGATTGATACCAAGAATACCCATTTTTCTCATATGAGAAATATGGATATGCTTGGTACCAAGCACAAGTTTTTGTGCTTGGTAGTGATGTGGCATATTCCCCTGGATGACTGCTGATAAATATGTGTGTATGTGTAATCCCATGGATGACTGCTGATAAAAGGCGTAGCCTCAGTGAGTATGCTCACAGATGAAGGGGGAGATCATGAATATGTCCCTATGAATTATATAGTCTCATACGTACAAACTTAAATATGAAGCTGGCAGTAAGATTCCCACCTTAAGCTTCAGGTATCAAATTTGATTCTCGTTCAATATTCAGCGAGTTCAGAAAATTTCACAGGCATTCAATCTCTAAGTCATGAAAATCCTTCATCCACCAAGCTATTTGAATATTTTCAGAGCATGTGACTCAGGCATTCAACTTTCACATAATTAGTTTTAGCCGTTGATTCCTTCAGTTCTTATGAGAGCCATTTGTGCTTCTGCCATCAACTTCTCCAAAAGCTCTACGAAAATCCTGGTATATATCACAAAGCCCCTCATCATTTGCGCATCAATAGACCTGATCTTCGCATCAAAGGTAGCGTCGAAAATGCTTACTCCCCTCTAAATAATTTTAATACAAATTCTAATAAATCACAACGCTTACTTATAGTTTATGCCTGAACTTTTAACTTTTGATTCCTAACTATGATGTGGGTTTGAAAAATCTCAATAAAATGGTTTAAAAAAATCCTTAAAACAAAATTACATAACAACGAAACCGAAACCCCCCATTAAATTTCAAAAATCGACAGAGACCGAAGGGATAATATAACAACAAAAAAGCCCCTAAAATCATTCCAAAAAAATCACCTTTTTACCCTCTTGGGATCGACAACGGCGAGCTCGGCCAGCTCCTCAGGCGCCATGGCTTTCCTCGCCTCTCCAGACCCGTACCCGAACCCGCCCACCGACAGGCTCTGCCGATGCCTCGCCCTCCTTATCGGATCCGGGTCCGACGAATCCCCGACCCCTTCGACCTTCTCCATATCCAAATACATGTGAAAGAGATCGTCTTCGGATCCGAAATCCGGCAGCGAACCCGCGCCCGCGTCGGAGGGGAACGGGTGTTCGGAGTGGGCCCGGCGGTGGTGGGACCCGCAGGAGCTAGGGTTAGGGTTAGGGATTTGGGGAGGCATTAGGGCTTGCATTTTGGACCATTGGAGAGGGGAGAGAATGGCGGGAGCTTGTATAGAGAGAAGGGGCGGGGGTAGTTTTATACGTCGGAGCTTGTTGAAATGCGGGTTAGGATCCGAATCCGATTTTCAATGTGAAGGAGATACATGAGGTAGAGATGGTATCGGGTTTCGGGCTTTGGATCTTTTGGTGTGACCAATTTTTAGACCCGGCATTAGGAATTTTGTCAAACCATGTCTTTATTCAATAATGATGCTGAAATTTTTTTAATTTTATTTCTTTTAAAAAAGAAACTAAGTTCATTTCAAAATATCATTCACTTGTCTTTCTTCTAAAATAAGACATGTTACCATTGACGGGTTAGCTCAGGTGGTTAGAGTCGATCAATGTGTCTCCCAAGCGTATGGATCAGGTTCACCTTCTCGGATTCACCTAGTAATGTTAGAGTCGAATGGTGTTAGCAATGCCCTGAGTTTAATTGGCTAGCTTTCTCCGACTTGGGATATTAGGTTTAGATTTGGCCCCCTTGTAGTGGTGTTGCTCGAACTCGGGGCTCCTCCCTCATACTTAATAGGTCTAACCAAGATTCTCCTATTTCATTGCAACATCTGCTAGGCTTCTGAAATTAGAGTGAACGGTAATGATTGGAATAATTATGTTTTCTCTAATTACTACTTAATTAGAGAGGAAATGAATCCTTCGTTGCATAATATACTTTGTAAATAATTAATAGTAATTTCACACATTTTATAGATATTAAACCATAAATATTTTTGACCATTTAATTAGTGAGGATTTGAATCCTCTATTGTGTAATCTAGTTTGTAAAGAATTAATAGTAAATTCGCACAGTTTATAGATAGTAGAGTACAATAAAAATAAAATCAGATTTAACTAATTTTCAAAGCAAGTGCATGGTTGTTGACCTCAAGTGATGACTATAAATACACATATTTTATATTTTAAGTTATTAGTACATATATAAACATAGTGTACACCGGCAAAAAAAATACAGATTTAGGTTGTTTTTAAAAAAAATCATTGTACAGTGATATTATACCAAATTATATCTGTGCATCACCAAAGTTCAGGCGTACACTATGTCCCTATCATCTGATCACCATGACGTGCGTCTAAGGATCAAAATATTTGTTGCTTACTCTTATATATCATACCAAAAATTAAAATATATATCAATATCCCTACAATAAATATTTGATATGTAAATAATTTTTAAAAAGTTGTCTATGTTTACTCTATTTTGCATAACTCAGAGAAGAGAGAAGAGTAAGAGAATATGGGAGGAGGAAGAAGACCCTCCGATCTCTCAGGTAACTTTTCTCAAAAACCCCTCCACATATATTCTATTCTGCATAACCTCTCTTCTCTCAATAATATTTTTATTTGCAGGACACTCAGTCCTAAGCTCCTGCTCTTCTTCTTCTTCAGACTCCGATGTTTCTTTGCGTTCACGAAACAGAACTTACCTCAGCCTCCTGCGCTCCTATCAGAACCCCCCTGAGCGAACTCAGACTCTCCAAGAGTACAAAGATGCAATCTTAAGGTGTTTATTGCAAAAATTTTGTCTGGGCTTGTGAGTTTTGCTTTTGTTTTTTGATTGGTTTTGCGTATTTTTCCATAAACGTTCAGGAGTTAATTGCAAAATTTTTGTTTGGGTTTGTAGATTTTGCCTTTGCTGTTGATGGGTTTTCTGTAATTTTTGTAAATATTAAGGTGTTTATTCCGAAACTTTTAGTTGGGTTTGTAGATTTTTCCTTTGATGTTGATGGGTTTTGTGTACTTTTTGTAAATGTTAAGGTATTTATTGCATTTTTTTTTGGTTTGTAGATTTTGTCTTTGTTGTTGATGGGTCTTGTGTAAGGAAATATTAAGATGTTTGTTGTAAAATTTGTTGGCTATATTGTGGGAGAAAAGACAATTTTGTCTTCATGAATAGTCTCACATGGATTAGTGTCATGAATAGTAAAAGGTTTAAATTGTTTCACCTCTTATTGGGCTTTGAATAGTATTTTGGGTTTTATATTGTTTGGATTTTACATAACACACACGCGCACGCCACCCCTTTTGTTTTTCAAACTTTTATTTTACATGTTTTACATGTTTCTCTTGGCAATTAAAACGTGCATAACGGCTATACAATTAAGGAGAGCGTTACGAAAATTATGACGAATGTTACTGGGTTTTCTGCAGCGGCAAAGACTCTCAACCCTTATATAAATAGCTCTTCTCATTCTTGGATGACACACGACATCGAAGGCTTTCTCTTCTCTTCTTTCCTCTGTGATAAAACAAGAACTCTCTCTCTCTCACACACACAAATTTTTGGCTATTATTTAATTTCTTTTCTGAGCAACCATTTTCATATGAGCAGAAGTTCCGCCACTCTCGCCCGAGTACAAAGACCAACCGATTCCAGAGGTTTTTACCGCTAGAGGAGAGAGGATCATCTGCGCTAGGGCGATAGGCGGGTCTTTAATCTTCTAGGGCAGTGTTTACACGACTGCTCCCGATCAGGCCAGAATTTTATTTAACTTTTATTTTTCGGATTTTATGCATGCTAATATAACTTTATTTTGATTCTTGTCTAAGAATCTAGAAGATTAAGATTATAGCTGTTATTTTAAAACCCGAGGAAAAATAATAGTAAAGTTACTGTTCATTATAAGTTACTGTTCATATAGGGAATATTACAGTTACTGTTCATTAAAAAATAATTTTGCTGTTCATCCGTGAAATTTACAATTACTGTTCATCCATGCCATTTATAATTACTGCTCATCTGAAATTTTTTAAAAACATTATCCTTTATTCAGCCAAATTTTTTAGCACTGTTCATTTAAAATTATTGTTTTACTGTTCATAAATAATAAAAAAACAATTATTCTTTCTATCGAACTGTTTTAGAATCATATTTATATGCTTTGTTCGTTTCTTTTACTAGCTTATAAATAATTTTGCATCAAACTCATCCTTTAAAGTCATAATCTCCAAAGTAACTAGTCGAGCGATATTGACAAAACTATTTTATTCTATCAGATTTTAAATACCTAGACTAGTTGACTTTAAATCGGACTTATGGTTAACATTGACCATTCTAAGAGTGTCAAACCTAAGAAGTTTACCGGAGTTAATTACAAACAGTGGGCTAATCAGATGAGATGCTGGCTCACTACCTTAGATCTGTTATCTGCTATAAACACTCCTGATTCTTCTTCTAGTGGTTCTCAACCCTTGACTCTCTATTCTGAACAACCTACTCCTTCCACTTCTGTTTCTGGTGCTAGTTCCTTCTCTAGTCGTATGAAACCAGAAGAAATAAACTATCATTGTTGTCATAGGATTCTTAGTGCACTTGCGGACAACCTTTATGACATATATTATGAGTTCAAAAGTGCTAAAAACCTATGGAATGCTCTTGAGGTAGAATATGGCTATGATGATAACGAAATTCTGCATTTCACCTCCTCTTCCTTTAATAAGTTCATGATGGTTGATGACAAACCCATAAATGAATAAATTCATAAATTCCAAGATTTTCTTCGTCACCTCCAATCAAAGGAAAACTCATTTACTGATGACTTTAAAGTTGTGTTTGATTGATAAGCTTCTTCCCTCCTGGTCTAGATTCGTTGGAGATCTCAGACACAAGTAAGAAGATCTAACCTTAACTGAAGCTCTCAAGGCTATTTGTATTGAAGACCAGCATAAGCAAAATTTTAAAACCAAGACTGAAATAAAAGCTAAAGTAAACTTGGTAGAGGATAAGTCTAAATCTAGGAATTTCAAACCTAAGGGGAAGAAATTCAAGAAAAACCAACAATCCTTCAACAAATCCAAATCCAATCTCAATCCTTCCAGCCATAAGTCTGATGAAAAGTTCTGTTATGTCTGTGATAGAACCAACCACCTGGCTCCCAACTGCTTCTATCAGAAAAAGGAACCGACTAAACCTACTCCAAAAGGAAATGGATCTAACAAAGTTAATATGATTGAAGAAAATGCAAATTCCTTCAGGTTAGCTTCTTCATCCTATCTTGTAAATTCTCTTACTTCTTCCACTAATTGGTATTTGGATTCCGGAGCTAATATTCACGTTTGCAATGATCGCTCTTGGTTTTCAACTTACTAGGAAGCACGTGGAGGAAGCATAAGTTTAGTAGATGACTCCACCAAACAAATAATGGGAAGTAGATGTATAGAGCTCACCATGACCTCTGAGAAAGCTCTAAATCTGTAAGGCGTTCATCATGTTCCTTCTTTCCGTCGCAACCTGATTAGTGAATCTCTTCTCCTTAGAGTTGGCTATAGGTGTAGGCGTCTAAAAATGCCTATGGGTGCCCGCACACAGCTCAAGACAAAGAGAAGGTGATGAACGTCGTTATCCAAATCAAAGAGGATTATCCAATGCCGACAAGCGCATGAAGCGAATCGGCAAACTGTTGATGACACGACAACGAACCACCACAATGGAAAACACCAAGTGGACCGCACGCGTTAATCAACTCAAAGCGTACAAACGCACCCAACAGTCAGTTAACACGCACGCATCATTCAGCTCGTGCATGTCAATCAGTGCGCGCGTCAATCAGTTCACGATGGCGTCAATCAACGTACATTAATCAACTCGCGTAGAGCATACAAGTCAACACGACGGATGAGTAAAACGGGAGAAACTACAAGTCCTGGAAGATCGAAAAAGTTGTAAAACACAAGAAATCAGCGAAACTCAGCGCGCCGCGCAGGACGGACCAAACCGACCCGCGCCCGTGCGGGTCGGAATGATCCGACCCGCGCAAGCGCGGAGGAGGTGCTGCCGGATTGTGGAGTCAAAGGAGCACGAATTTCAGCGAGGGTTGACAGATCTTGGCGAGTTCTTCGGCATAAAGAAGGAGAGTTCGAGAGATCCGACGCCCGTTCCCGTCCGTCCCTTGAGATTAGGCTTGGTCTTAATCTCGAGAAGAGCCCTGATTTCGCTTGGTCGATTTCAGCGCTTCAAATCAAATACTTCCTCGGCGAAGGCGAAGCTCTGCCAAATTTTTCATCAACCGGATCCAGATCTAAGGCGGTCCACGGATAAACCCCGGCACAGGCAAAGATCCCACGCAAGCAGAAGACCGATAAACGATCTCTGCGTTTGTTTTGACGAGAGTTGTAAACTTTTGTTTTCATTGTGTAAAAGTCTTATAAAAAGACAATCTTTTTTTTGTTTTCATTGTAACGATCGAAGTTGTAATGAATACCGCAATGAATACAACAATTTTCGACGCAAACAAACTGGCGACCACAGTGGGAGCCAACAGCTTCGCTGCCGGAGCTGTCGTGTCGCAACCTCGGATCTGCATCCCGGTTGAAGAAGTGGTCGAATACGAGTTCGACCAACTGAAGTTCGAGGAATATCTGTCGTCTTCCTCCTCCAGATCCTCCGCCTCTCGCAAGCGAAGGAAGATCAACGCCCCCGTTGTTGCGCTAGCTGAACCTTACAACGCCCTTCCGGTCTCCAATGAGTCCGGATCTGCAGATCTGAACTCCTCCTCAATCAAGGAGTTGAGTACAGAAGGCGCGCCTATTTTATCAAAGAGAACTCGTCAAAGGCAGCGCCAACGTTGTGCGCGCCAACTCGCTAGAGCCTTGGAGTCAATTGACGGGATCCGTTATGAGGCGGATCTGAAAATTAGGCAACGTCAAGCGCCCCAACAGCGGACAAATGCCCTCTCCTCTAAATCACCAACAAGTGAATGGGTACAAGTCAAAAGGACTCGTTCAACTCTTGAAGAGCGGATCAAAAAGCGTCGCGTACTGCTTGCGCATGCGCGAATTCTTGCGCAAGAGGTCAAAAGATTGCAGAGGGAAGAAGTGGAAAAGAAGCCACCAAAACTGCACAAAGTTTGGAGGCCAAAGTCCAAGACAGCGGCCGAAAAGATCGAAAAATGCGGGTCACTCAAAATCCGCCCGCCGTCCCGCGGTCACTCAAATCCGACCCGCCAATCTGCAGGTCACACAAAATCCGACCCGCCAATCTGCAGGTCACCCAAATCCGACCTCGCCAATCTGCAGGTCGCCCAAATCCGACCTTCTAAATCGCGGGTCACTTGGTCCAGACCCCCAATCTGCAGGTCACCAAAATCGACCCGGCCAACTGCGCAGGTCGCCAAATCGACCCTCCACAATCGTGGGTCACTGGGTCCGACAACTCCACTCTTGCGGTCACCCAAATCCGACCCTCCACTTGCGGGGTCACTTGAAATCCGACCCCCAACCTGTCGGTCACTTAAATCTGACCCGCGCCAGAGTCAAGGCAGAAGATGTTCTACACCTGTTTCGTCGATCCCTGTGAGTTCCGTACCTCCGGCGGGGCACCGTGACAGCGTGGATTTGTCCCGATTCAAGGTGAGGATAGTTGATCGCCTGGGTCCTTTGCACGAGGATCGAGGCAAAGTTCTGAGCAAAGAACGTTTGGGTCCGGTGACTGAACCCCGAGCAACTCGTCGAGCTGGGGGTCGCACACGCCCTCTCAACAATAACAAGCCTTCTTATAAAAGGAAAACTCCAGTTTCCACCCGTCTGGGGGTGTGTATTCAAAACCAGGAGCCTGTTGAGATCTTGCGCTCCCAAAAGTGTAGTTCTAAACATGTGACTCTTGAGAACGCTGATAAAGCGGCAAATCCCCTGAAAGAAACGTATTCATCTGACGATGACAACGTTATACTTGGGGAGTTGTGTCAACGTACGATAGGTTGCTCTGGTTATAACGTCGATGAGTTGTACTATCGGGCTGGGGGTATGAACGAGTCTCGGAA